AAGAAAAGAAAGGAAACAGACAACCCAAGGGAGGGATGGGAGGACGGCACGCCGCCACCACACAGGGATTTTAAGGAGAGGGGTGTGATGCGCTAGCCGTCGCCCACCCTAGGGAGTCTGCCTCTTCCTATCTCTTTTCGCAGTCTCTCGCCGCTTCTCGCTGCAACCTTCATGCCACCTCGCGGCCGTCCCACTCTCGTCGTTCTCTCCCTTGTCACTTCCTCCTCTGTCGCGTCAGGTTCTTCTGCCTCGTCCTGCGGCGCCGCCGCCTGCCGGTCCCTTGTTCTCGCGGCTTCTTTCGCCTTTCGGCGCAACTCCGGGGAGCTAAAAAGAAAGAAAGAAAACAGACAACCCAAGGGAGGGATGGGAGGACGGCACGCCGCCACCACACAGGGATTTTAAGGAGAGGTGTGTGGTGCGCTAGCCGTCGCCCACCCTAACTCCGGGGAGCTAACATCCGCGCTTAATTGCACGATTTTCTTCTTCAGTCCGCGCCAGTCCGCGTTCTTCAGTCTTGCCCAGCCTCACGGGTGCTAAAGCAGCGCCAGCAGCGCCAGTAGCATTCGCAGATGCTCGCCATCTCGACGGCCGCATGCTCGTCTCTGCTGCTCCCGTGCAGCCGCGCTCACGTCGCCAGTGCTAGACGGCGCGGGCTCGACGCGCCACTCTTGGGCGTCCCTGGCTTCGTCTCCTGGCTGGAGACGCACTCTCCGGAGGCTCTGGTGGAGATGCCCGCCCTGCCTCGCGAGAACAGCGAGATCACGCCGCGCGACGTCGACGTGGTCGCCTTCGACCTCAACTCGCTCGTGCACAATGCGCTGCGGAACGCGCGCGACGAGGACCAGGCGATCGCGATGGTGTTTCAGATGCTGCACAGCGCGCTGCGGCAGGTCCGGCCGCGGACGACGGTCGTGCTGGCGCTTGACGGCGCCGCGCCGATCGCCAAGCTGGAGACACAGCGCAAGCGTCGCGCCACGAGCTCGAGGCGCGACGAGCGCAAGAAGAGCAAGCCGGACACGCGCAACAACAAGCGGAGGCCCGCGGGCGTCTCCGCGCTGTGCGCGACGCCGGGCACGCGTTTCATGGCCAGCCTCGAGGGCGCGCTGACCTACTGGATCTGCGCCGAGCTGCAGACCTACCGCGCGCGCGGCCTCCGCTTCCTCCTCT